TACAAATATTGACATTTTGATGCAGAAAACAAAGCGTACAATACGGCGGACTAAAGACTGGTTTAACACCAATAAATTAAATCTGAATACAGAAAAAACAAGATGACCTTATACAGTAAACAAGGAGGTGAGCTAACAAATCAAACCATAAAATTTCTAGGTGTTACACTGAATGAAACTCTCATTTGCTCGGATCATGTAACAAAACTAAAACAACGATTGGCTGGTTCTTTGTACTGTTTGAAAGTTATAGTTAAAAGTTTACCTTTGAAAGAAGCAAGAAATGTTTACTTTGCGTATTTCCACAGCATTGCGACATACGGTATAATGGTATGGGTTTCAACTGAATCAGAGAAAATTTTCAAACTACAAAAGAACGAATACTATTGAAAATGGCCCAACGAGACAGTTGCAGAACGCGATTCAAGGAATTAAAGATCAACGCGTCAAAGGGGAGATTTGGCGATTCCGTACCTTCGGACAACTAGAACATAAAAATCTTTCAATTTTACAGCGGTGAAATTATATAATGCATTACCATTGGAGATAAGGGAAATGAATTCCAAAATGTTCAGAGCCACGGTTAAAGACATTTTACGGGAAGGAGAATTTTATTCTATTAATGATTTTTTTTAAAAAATTTGTTAAATTACAATTTTAAAATTGTAATTGAAATTTATATAGTATTTAACATTTTGAAGATCATTTCTTGGAATTTTCAAATTTTGGAGTTAAGATTTTTTGAAAGCAACCTTGCATAATCCTATCCATCAATGTCAGGATAATTAATCTTTGCGTATCTCAAAAACGAATTGAGATATAATTATGAAACAAAAAGCAATTTAAATGAAATTTATTTAGTATTTAATATTTTAAAGATCCTCTCTTGGAATCTTCAAATCTCGGAGTTATGATTTTTGGAACGCAACTTTGAATAATATTAAAGGTAAATGTTAGAATAATTAATCTTTACGTATCTCAAAAACTAACAGAGATATCATTATGAAATAAAAAGCAATTTATAGCTAATTTAGTGAAGACTCAATGCATTATAAATAATTTCTTATTTTTTATAACTGTCGTTGTTATGATTGTTTAAAACTAACTCTGCACGTTTGATTGTTATAGATATGACATATAAAAGTTAAAAAATCGCATCTCAAGAACTAATGGAGATATTATCATTTAATGCAACCTAAATAATTTCTTATTTTCCATAAACTGATTTACTACATCTATTCTTGTTTGATACATTTATGATTTCAAAACACCACAAATGAAATTAACTGTAATATGATAAACACAATATTCTCGCGCTTTTATTTTTATTTTATTTTATTTTTTATTCATTCAGTCATATTTAATAACTTTAAAATTATATTGCACGTTTAAGGAACTACACTTTTGTATGTAAATTTTCAACGAAATGGTATTGTTGTAGCATTTGGTTTTGCAAGAAAGATGCTATAAATAAAAAAGAGTATAGAAAATCTGACCAACAAACCTTGGATTTAGTTTAACGTTGTAAATAACGTCGGACTTATTTGGTTACGATACTTGGATATGTGTAAACTGGCCTTAAATAAGATGGCTTGAGTTGGGTTTATTTTCTGTGTATATAGATGATTATCTCGATAAAAAAGTGGGGTTTGCCCCATTCTAGCTGTAGCACCCCATCAAAAACTCCTACCTGGTACACAAGTCAAGATGCAGGTGGACCGTGATGTTTCCTTAATTTATTTTTCTAACTTGCTATCGGAAAGTAAGCGAGCTGATATGAGATTACTTTTCCAAAGGAAAATCACATGTATGTAACAGACCGGCCCAGCAATCGGCAAGAAGTTTGATGTAAAAAGACAAGGCTATCACGAAGAGTAGCGAAGTTACTCTAAACAATTGTCAAAATGTTAAAAGAAAGTTGTGTGATACATCAATAGAAGTTACAGAGGTAAAAAATCCCTATAATAAGACATCGGAAGTTTACGTCATAAAGAAAGCCTTTACTGCAATCACTAGGCTGCAAAAAGAATCAAAGAGATAAATCGAACAAAACATAAACCTGTCCAAAGAGCATTCAACAATAACACATTGGAACGAAATTGAAGTAGATATCATAGTGGATAATATTAAAAAAACAAAAAAAGGTAAATAATAAAACCAATAGTAACGTATGCAGCTGAAACCAGCGCCGATACAAGCGAGTACTGTAAGAACAATAGTGGGAAAGACAAGACGAGATAAAGTTAGGAACAAAATTGTAAGAGAATTTTGTGGATTTGGAGATGTCATGAGATTTGCTAGGGAAAAAATAAAAAAAATGTAATGAATACTTCCAAAGAGTGGAAGAGACCTAGCTGATCAAGACAGCAAGAGAGATTAGCTGGAAAGAGATCCCGGAAGATCAAAAAAGTTACATTTCTACCTCTAATGAAACACCATGAATGATACGTAAAAAGCAGGTACAACCTGAATATAAAGGTGGGTTCATGCAAAGTGTTTTAGTTTTAGTCATAGTCATAAGCGTTTGCTTTAGCTGTAGTTATAAGGAAAGGGAAGAAGTCATTATGCAATAATGACTGGAAAAGAATCAGATGTGCAACAAAGAATTAATAAAGCACAAAAACTGAATTTAGTGATTAATACTAATAAGACTTATACTCAATTTAAGAGTAAGTAAATCGTTAAATAGTTTCGAAGAGTGTTACGTAAACAGTTAGTAGCAAATTTACCTATGTTATGCGAAACGGGATGGCGGGCCGGTAGTGAAATTATTAATTAATTAATAAATTTGTTAGACAGTTTAATGCTTAATTTATGCTAAGATGTAACAGGAAAAATAATAGGTGATAGTAGTGAAATAAATGACATTTGGATTAAACATAGAGACTGCTTTAGAAATAGGCAACAGTCCACCACACCAAAGAGAACATGGTGCCATGGAACCTATATCAATCAGTATGATTCAAAACGCAATTACTGCGCCAAAACATGGAAAGGCACCAGGGATTGATGGCATACCATCAGAAGTAAGATCTGGCAAGAAGAAAACTTGCCTGACGAATGGCAAAATGCAAAAAATGAACAAACTTTCATGTCGAATTTTCCGCGGCATCGGCATTTCGCCCCTGTGCATGAGGTATAAAGTGCTTTCGACCAAATGTATTAATAAATAAATAATAAATATATTAAATAATGCCTGGGCATAAGACGTTGACATAATATATTTGTAGATTTCAGACAGGCGTATAATTCTATCAAAATGCTTTGATATACCAGCAAACCTGATATGGTTTATACAGAGCACCTCGGCATGCACTGAAACATGCGTACACATAGAAGGCCAACTAACAGATCTCGTTCATATCTCACACGACCTAAAACAGTGGTGGACGGGCACCCACCCAGCTTAATCTGGCTCTGGAATATGTGATAAGGAAAATGGAGGTAGAGAGATCAGGTGTATTAATCAACAAGTCTATGAGGTCTATTTGTTGTAACTTATGCCCTTCGAAGGTTTAGAGAAAATTTAGGTCCTTGATAAACCTTAGTATTGCTCCAAGGTCTTGTTCCTTTATGTTACTAGGTGTCAGGCTAACCTTTCCGAAAATGTGTGCCTTAGTCCGCCTCTGGTGATGCAATCACACAGAATATGTTCAGCAGTCTCTGACTTGTCGTTGCATAAAACCTCTTTAGTTTTCTTTTTCGACGGAGTTATCATCATCTCTCCGCTCAGCTGTATCCTGGATGTTCTTGCCAGCTCAAGGCTACATTTGAGTCCACCCATGTGCTAATTACCTATTTTGAGTGGCTTTTTTGTAGTTCACAGCCAGCTTGTCCGCCTTTTCATTGCCCTCAATATCTTTGCGACCCGAAACCTACCATAGGGTAACTTAACTATCCCTGGCGAGTTTTCTTAGGTTACACGTGTAGGCCAGAATTACCTTCAGGGCAGCTCGACTTTCCGCAAAAATGTTTATCGATGCCCCTTTCTATCCCTTTTCTAGGTTCAAAACGGTGAGAAGTTTAAGGCAAGAACTTCCTGAACCTGAAAAATGGTTGTATCCGAGCTTAGGGATAACTTAATGCGGCTATTTGGTCCACTGATGCGCATACCTACTCAGGAACCAACTGTCTTTAAAGCACTGGCTCCTCTTTTGAGTTGAAACTCACCCTTCGTCCAATCTTCCTTGCTTCTAAACATGACTTTATATGGCTGGTAGAAATTATAGGCTATTGGTATATTATCTGTTTTAATTTCAATCAAGCGCCTTAGACATGGGTCCTTGAGGATTTCGAGATGACTCCTGAGGTTATTGTGCATTAGCTTGAGTGAAAAGCATGTCTTCAGTGAAAAAGCACATAAAGCTGCCTCTTTTTGTACCTATATACAAATGAGTCAGAAATCAGGAGATCCATTCTGGCCAATACAGCATATTTCATCAGACTCCAGCATTTAAGATGGGCCGATTATGTGATTAGAATGGGAAAAAAGAAAATGCCTAGGCGAGTAATCTGTAGAATGATGCAAGGATGCATGTAAATGTCTTTTAAACGGTTTTCAATCAATTTGTACAATTTTAATTGTTATTAATTATAATTATCTTACATACATTAAAAGTTATTACTTATTTTTTTTTTGATTCATGCACATTTTGTATTAAGCAGTTTTCATTGAACTTTGTTAAATTTTTTCTAAATATTAATTGATTTTTCAGATGCTGAAACTATATTCCCGATTTCAGTTTAATAGCAATAGATTGTTACAATGTTCTGATAAACATCAATTATCTGTAAGAATTATTAAGGCTTTCAATCTTTGAATTATCTTAATGCATATCGGCTCATTGATCTCAACTTCATTTAAATAAATGGATCCAAAAAATCCCCGGTTAATGTATAGCTCTATATTCTTGAGCAAACACGTTTTATACCGTCCAGATTATCAAAAAAGAACGCCGAAGGAAATAGTGGGAAATCCGTTGGCCTTCAAATTGTCCAAGATATGCTCGACTTCACACGACGAACAAGATACAGTCATAGGTTGGACACAGAACCGAACACCACTTCAAATATATACTTCCATGTTCACGCGCGATTTTGTGACCAGTTCTGTGGTAACTTTAAGTGAAGCAAAAACGAAACGGACAACGAAAAAGAACTTGAGTAACCAAGTCAGTAAAAAGGATTAAAGAAATTTAAATAAGACATGGAAATGGATAAATTTAAATTTACGCTAATTTATTTGGCATTTCTCTCAACAACCTGCACATTAGTAAGCGCTAAATGTAAGTTAATTTGTTATTTTAAACCACAAAGGTGCATCAGTTGATTATGATAATTCGAAAATTTTTTAAAGTATAATTATTAAAAAGAACGTGTTAACCTTGGTGGGTCAACTTAAATTTCTTTTTTTTTTTCGCGTCTTTAATGATCTTCAACGATCCACTAAAGACTTGGTAACCTTCGGGGCTGTTTTCTAAAGGAGTTTTAAAGTTGTCGTTAAGGTTAAACAAATTAATGCATAAATAGAGTCGTTTATATAAAAAGTGAAAACAAACGTAATTGGTTTTAAGAGGTTTCGGATAATGGAACGAACCTCAACCTAGATTTTGTAATTTTCGGTTTCGATCGGAAGTAGTAACCTTTCAAATTTTGAAACCTTTTGTATCTTGTTTTTTTCAATTAAAACTTTGAAAGTTCTTTTTAATAATTAATCTCGCTTTATATGGAAAAAATCAAGGTAAATCACTCTGTCAATCATTAATCACACACTTATTGATGATTGTTCTAGGAATAAATTGTAATATTTAGAAAAACATCTTTCAAATCCAAAAGAATCTCCTTACCACAAATTTAAAACATTTTAAAATGGCTTGGAATATTATTTTTTATTTATATCATTAAACTAGATAATATGACGGAGTTCCAATGAGTCAGATTTTAATTAGTGATGGATTTACCACAACATATTCTATATAATTACATGTAAACAAGTAATTCCCACTATTCTCAACGAGTTTACTACCGTAACGAATTATGAATGTAGTTACACAGTAATTATAGAAAAATTTATTATAAATTTGGTATAAATTATTTTAATTTTGCATGAAGTAATATGTTTATTTAAATCATTACTTAACATTTGAGTATTTACTTCGATGTTTGCAGATTTAAATTTGTCACCGATGATATTTTATTCGAAAAAATATTGAATTGGCGATTTTTTAATTTTGCTTGTACAAACTTCATTTTGCAATTGTCGAATTCATATTTAAACACTTATTTTTAATTAAACTACTTAGTTTAAATGGAAATAATTGTTGGCAATTAATTTCCAATTTCAGAAAGAGTTTGTAAATTACACAAAGTTATAAAGAAAAATAAGATTTCTTATCGCATCATTTCATTATTTTTTGAGACATAGTGTAAACACGCCAGTGGTCGACCACTTAAGACATAATGCAAATTCAAAACCCAATAAAAAATAGACCTAAAGGCACATGTTTGTTCATGTTTTAATTTTTTATTTGGTCTTGACAAGAACATATGCTCATTTATTAAATCAAAAATTATAAACATAACAATCAACATAAAAACATTTACAGGGTCAGCCAAACTCGACGCCCCACCTCTTTTATGGGAAATAGGTAAAATTTTCGAATAAAAATGTATACCATTTTAAACAGTATCTTCTCAACTGTAAGAAACGTCGCGACGTACACAAATTAATTTTTTCAATGAACACATTTTTTTCTGTTTATAAATAGGATGCCTATATAATTCTTAGCAATATTGAATAAAAAAGGTTTTTTTATATCTCTAATAGTTTTTAATATACAGGGTGTACCAGGTAATAGTAGAAAAAATTTGAGGGGTTATAGGTCTTCTCTTTCTGAATAAAAAATTCTTATAACACAATGTTCCATTCTTTGCCATTCTTAAGATATGATACGATAAAGTTAAGGGTTTGAAAGTTTAAGTACTGCTGTATAAAGAATTATATTAAGCAGGCTTTTTGAGATATTTTTTTAGAGATTATTTATTTCATACCAATAAATTTATTACTTCTAAGCAGATAAACACTTTTGAGATTGTTGGCACATTAGCTTCAAAAATCGTTATCCACTTAGTGATTGGCTGGAACAAGTCATAAGTTGCTTCTATTGGTAACCAAAATTCGTTTTGAAGAAGAAGTCTTAGTCGTATTTGATGAAAGAACATCAGAAATATCTGGGCTATCATCAACTGTTAAACTTTTTAATGAATGTTTAGTGTCCAAAAAGCTTTTTAGACAACAAACAAAGGAACCCCATCTTGTTTTCAAAGGCAATTTTAAAGAGATGTATCGCCCCGTTTTGTCCAACTGGATTTTTTCAAACGTTGCATGTAAAATCTGCGAATTTTTCAGCTCAGATACAATTGAAATTATGTTCTTTTTAAAAATTGGAAAAATGGTCTAATTTCAAGAAGTCTTCAACCAGAAAGTTTAGATCGTGGCAAATACAACCATAATTAGTAATGTAATCGTACTTGCTCTGCTAACTATTTCACGAGCCTTTTTTATGTTAGCTCCGTTGTCAGTGACAATAGCTAGAAAATTTGAAGCTCCTAATTCTTTCAACGCTTTTTCAATTTCTGAGGCCAAAAATGTTGCTAAATGTCTGTTATTTTCGGTGTGAATTGATTTGTAAAATATGGGAAGATGTGTATTAATAACAAAATTAGATATAGGGTCATTTCTGCAATTTGACCATCCATCCATTTGTAGGCTTAAGATAGGTGCTTCACTAATTTTTGAAGAAACTGCAGCTTTTACTCTAGTGTACTCGGATTCGAGGAGTGGATTTGATAACTGGTAACGAGAGAGTGGTTTATATGCGCATCTCATTGCTTTGAATACATCTAACCATACTTTTTTCGTTGTTTTTTCGTTTAAGCCTGTCTATCAGGCTAGTTTTGGGAATCTGGAAATTTCGAGAAGCTTCTCTTATTCCCATACTATTATGAATTGCATCTGTTGAAGATGTTTCTGAATATCACTCTTGGAAACACTCTATTTTTGGTTTTGACTACTTTGAATCGACTAGATTTGACTAGAGAGAACCATCTTCTTAGAGCTGTTAGTTCTTTTTTAAGACTAGAAAACTTTTCGTACACTAACAGTCCAGTAGTCGTCCACTGTGGTCGACTAATGGAAGATTATAGTAATTGTAAAGCCTATGTTCGACCACCCGAAAATAAAAACATGTACTATGTTTTTAACAACTTTATTTAAAGAAATAGTAAAACTGTTCTATTTAAAATTGTGTCTATGTCCAGATTCTAATAAAACACAATTACAATACTTTTCTATGCTTATTTATGAAACACGTCATGCTTAGTAAAAATCCAAGTTTACTTAGTTCAAACCTTCAACTCGGTATGCACTTTTCTCAAATGACAAATCAGGGCAGAACTACTATCATTATTTGGTATCTTATTTACTTGTAATTTAGATGAGAGACACTGGTAACTAATTATTGACACAAATTTTAAAAGAGGAAATTTTACTACAATTTTATTTTTTTATTGCAAGTTTAACGTTATGAGAAGAACGCAGTTCTGATATCTCTAGTTTTTCGCATTTTTATTTCCAAGAAACGTATGATACGTTAATTCAAAAAAACTGTACATGGTACAGGTGTTAACCGATACTTACACCTAACTTAGCCGTACCTCTCTTAAAACGGCTGGTAGGTAGCGCTAGTTAGCATAAAATATCACTATGTTGCATATTTTTATTGAACTAAAACTAGAACTAACACTAGTCGTTTTAGCCGATACCTTCTAGTTTTACACTAGCACTACCACTAAAACTAACATAAGACCTAGACTAGAATTATTCGGGTTTAGTCGTCTTGAGAAACATGTGATACAATCGATTGTATCACATGTATTCAAGATGTATACTTGTGTCTTGGTTGTTGTTGATCTCTCGCGTAATTTCCTTGCAATTTTTAAGGATTACCCTGAAGAGCTTCAAATTAAAGCGAAATATTGGTAAACTACATAAACTGCCTTTTTTATTTCGATTGATCCTATCCTCGGAATAGTTTTATTTTATTAGTGATTACATTGATTGTGAATGTAGAAGTGGTTCTATGAAGTTTCTTTTGTTGAAAAATTTGAACATCAGATAAATCATATGAATTGCTTAGAAAAAATTATTAAACGTTTTTTGAATATACACGCATTCGATTATATTTTGAAATCTATTAGGATAAAACTTCAAAAATATTCAAACATTTCTCCTCAGTAAATATCCATAGTAACATTAAATAAGATAAGTTAAACCAATTTAAACGCCACTTTTACCATCCTCTTGATAAACTATCTATAGTCATCAACATATCAGCTGTTTATATTATAAATTTATATTTTTATCCAAATCTAATTTTAGTGTCATTAATTTTTTGTTTTAATTGTGTCATTTATTTGATCTTCTGTTTATTATTTTTAGTAAGTAAAAGCTAGTAAACTAAAAGATTATCAATCGTAGCTAATAGTAGAAATAATAATAGAAATATATTAAACGAAAAACTGTCAAAATTTCATGGCCTTCTATTAAAAATACAAACGGTTTCCTGCATTTCCTGCATGTTTTGATAAATTTCCCAATATGAGAGAAATATGTAATTGCTGTAGATAACGCCCTGTAACTTATTTGTTTTAAACCAAACGGTCTTACTGAAAATATCTTTTAAAAGAGCATTAAATGCTCTTTCAAACAAGACCAAAAATATTCAAATGGTCCAGGAGATATTAAAATGTAAACATTTGAAAACGCCTTGGCCTCCCCTTCCCTTATTATGACAGATATGAGAAATATTTCAAAACAAACGCGATGCGGTATTATCGAAGCTATTAAATGATGTTGTCAAAGTTATAGCTCATCGTCTAAGTTTCTGAGATAGCTAGAATTTTATGTTTCTCTATGGCAGTTACGCCCCCTAGCGGTGGAATTACGAACGTCAAAATAATTTCCAGCTATTTCCCTTGCCCACTTTCCTCATAAGGATTTTTTTCCGGCCTTACCGTTGTCGAGATACAGCCGCTCCGTACCCTCCTGAACATATATGTATAGGAGAAATATTAAGGGAAGTATTAATTGTAACACTTCGCCCGCATGGCTTCGGCTTGATCACGAGGCGTCATAAATAGCTCCTCCACCTCCTGTAAGTCTGACCAAAGCACAGTACAATGACCCACAATCTTGTATCAATGTGATATTAATTATTACGATAAA